CCCCCCCCCCCCGGTGATGTCAAATACACAGTCGGAGAAAAGGCACAAAATAATGAAGAAAGCCAAGATCGTGACGGACATGCCGATATTATCCACAATAAGTTTTAGAGTCGAAGACCATAAATACACAGTGGGAAGCCCGGAAGAGCGGTGGATGAAGAACACACCGCACTATGAGGTAAGATCAAGTCTTGTCTGGATTCTGGTTGCGAAAGCTCGAATTTGTTCTATCTTACATTGGAAAAACAGTCCTTTTGAGATTCCAAAGTATTTACGCTTGTCGAAGATAGACCACGGCCGTAAACGTCCATCACTTTGCGCACATTTTTTTCCATTCCACTTGCCTTCAGACGTCGATCTCCCCCTCTGACCATTTTACTTCCAGGACCACATCGGGGTCAGCTGGCGTGACCCGCGGAAATAGATAGAATCTCAGTAGCCATGGGGCCCCACTTAAATAGCCTCGAAATGTGGTCAAAACGGATTGCTCGTGCAGACGGTATCCCTCCGGCTCTCTCCAGAGCATGTATCCTGTCACCTAGTAACCTTCTCTGTCTTGCAATTCTGACGCCTGGGATGGCTGCATTGTGTACAGAATTCAGTTTTGACGCTGATTGGATCATTCCCGCACTTGTGCTGTTATCGCTCCCTGTTAGATAGTGATAGGACCAAGATATCGCTGTTTTGGACTCTGGAGGGGGTTGGACATACGCAGGTCCACATAAACACCGTCACTTTTTTCTTTCCCTTGGATGGGGGACATCTAAGAAGAAGGTTAGCAAGAGTAGCTAATGTATGTAGACACGTCTGATGGGGTACATGTTGAATGAGCCTGAAATAGGAACGGAGTCCAACGAGGAGAGCTGGGAAGGAAAAGAAAAAGCTAGGGGGTTTCGTGACTGAGAATAGAGCTTCGAACCCTCGGCGTAGTTACTTATGAGGCTCCTCTCTGGTTTCGGGAATATATATTCGCTCCGCTTCCGTCCTGAAAAGCGGTGTGGTGAAAAATAAGTCGAGTAATCATCGGCTCCGCCGTTCTGCCAAATGACGCGCTAGGTTGGGCCTGCGCAAGGCGTGGGTCTTCAGTGTACCTTACCGGACCGTAACCAACCAAGATTGTCAGCAGTAATATTTGGAGTGGCCATTCCCAGTACCGCTGGCCAGCCTCAGCCGGAGAGATCTTTGAATTCGAGGCGGTCTGCATCCATGGCCTCTATGCCAATCTTGCGCGAGGCCGCCTTGACCGATGGGTTTCTTCTTTGCATAGGTAGCAGAGCTCCCAAAATCCGTCGTCCTGTACATGTGCCGTGTGATTCGCTTGTATTGCCGTTTGTCCCGTGTCATTGCTGAAGCTGGAATAGATACATGGAAGATCAAATTCGTATTGCTTTATGGTCCCAGGTAGGGTGGAAGTAAATGGATGGGAAAGAAAAGTGTGGTGTCTGGCTTGACAAATGGGAGTAATAACATACAATTTCGGCCTAAGATAATACCTAAACGCCCAGTGAGAGTCTTCGCCGAAGTGACGATGGCAGCTTCGTGGAATATGCTTAATATGGTATTTTAGGTTCTTCACCATGGCGAAGCCTCTCGAGAAAAGGTCGCGTGGAGACAAAAAGTTTCGTAAATAGGTGGGCGGTCTTTAGGATTTATGCGTGCTTTTGTTGGTTTCCGCCCCCTTTTCAATGGTGCAATGCACCATGATCTGACCGCCTTTTGAGTCAGAGGCTAGTGTACTCCGTACATGTCCCATGCGTCCACCGTTGGTCTTCAACTTCAATAAAAACTATCGTTTTGTTTCCTGAAACACCCCCACAACCGTTTGGCTCGTCCAACCCTCTAGGTTCGCTTGACCCAGCTTGGTCCTTGAACATCTGTGAGAAAAGATGTCGGCCTGTATTCTCAAAATATGCGGCCATCAGATACAAACAGACCTGGACCGTTGTAGAAGAGTCAGTAGGTCGATTCGGCTCCAAAAATATAGCCTTGAACTCGTCTCTACGGTATTTCCATCTCCAATCCCTTTACCGCCATGGGCAACACCAGCCTTCGAACTCTAGTTACTTCTCCCTTTTTGGCCACGAGTTTACGCTCGCACGTAAGAGATAACTTGTATTCTGAGTAGCCGGGCTCGCGGACCGAAGTGTGCCCCCTGAGTTTATCCAACCTTTTCCTCCACCAAAACTTGACATTTCCTCCACCGCTCCTTTGTATCGTTGAGGGTTTCCGCTGTAATGAACGGGTGCGTAAAGGACCGTATTTATTCGAGGGAGCGCCGGGGCGTTTACTAGGTTTCGTTCCTGTGGGTGCTACGGAGGGTCAGAGATTACCTTCTTGGAGAACTTTCCCACGGCTCGCAGCATCTATCCACAGGCCAGGGAGAGCCAGAGCCGTTCACGAAACACTGGCGGAGCTGGACCACCTGAAATACTGTAAAGAGAGGGCCAGGTCGTCGATAGCAAGACGAACGGGCCGGAACTTCCACTAATGAGGATGTTCCATCTGACCGGTACAGTCTGTCCTCTCTGAGTGTCAGCCTCGCACAGACTCACCCGAATACGGGGCCCTAGGTTTCCTTCTTATTCGCGGGCGGCTCACTACTCAGGTGTACACATAGAGGAAGGTGATGGCGAAGATTATTGTTAGAGTCTCGAATTCAGCTTAACAACCTAAAAAAAGTGTACCTTTAACCTCGTCGTCGGTTCAGGTGAATCTTCTCATGCCTCGTGCAATCGTTTTTCCTCGTGAAAGCCTTGCCACACGTTGCACACGGGAACGGCTTTTGACCGCTGTGCGCCAGTTCATGGTCTCGCAATATAGCCTTGCGGACAAAACTCTT